ATAACAACTAGAGCAGTTTAGGGAAAAGAAACTGTCTCTGCAATTCGTTTTCTTATCTTACAGAACAGTGGTTCTCAAATTTACTTCTGCATTGAAATCAACTTGGGGAGCTTTTAAAAACACACACGCAGGATGGGGAGGGAAGAATGTCTTCAATAAATGGTGGTTTTGAAGGCTGTATTTCCACATTCAGAAAAATTAGTCATGTTTCACCGTAAACAAAACCAAAATGGACCAAAGAACTAAGCTTGCAGACTAAAACCATAGACTCTCTTCAGAACAAGCAAAGGCAACATGGCTAGACTCAGCTTTTAACCTAAAAATAATAACGGAAGTTCAAATAGCAATAGATAAATAAAACCTCTTAAAAGTTAAAAATTGTGTTCATCAAAAGACTTTACAAAAAAAAAAAAAAGACTTTACAAAAAAAAAATCATCAAAAGGTAAGTTCCTGACTGGGGAAAATTTCAGAAACGATATCTATCCAACAAGAAACTAATAACCATATAAAACGTCAACAATTCAGTAAGAAAAAGACACACAGGGTGTGTGAAGGAAATAGGAAGGATCTTCTGTGAAAACCAATGTATTCAAACTTTATAAATAAATCAGTATACATTTTTTAAAAGGCGTGCATAAACATTTCACCAAAGAGGATACTCAAATAGGCATCAGATAGATGAAAAGATGAGCTGATCATTAGCCGTCAGAGAGATGGAAATCACAACCACAGAGATACAATTTCACTCCTACTAGGATGGCTAAGGTTTAAAAAGAAGAAAGAGCATACAAATGTTGGCAAGGATATAGAAAAATTCATTGATTGGGTTGAAAAGAGTGCAAGCCCAGAGATATGAGGTTTGAATCCACCAGATGCTCTGCCGGAGAAGGAGGGACCATCTCCTCCTGTACCAGTCAGATCCAATTTGACGGTATACACACACACACACACACACACACACACACACATACAAAAAATAAAAAAATTAAAAAAAATTTTTTTAAAAAGGTCCAACTTTTGTGGAAAAGAGTGTGGTCACTCCTCAAAAGAGTGAATATACAACTACCATACAAAGCTCACTCCCATCAAGTGAATTTCAGTATTTGTCCTATCTGTGACTGAGATACTTCACTCAGTGTCATGTCCTCCAAGCTCAGCCATGTTGTGTAACGTTTTATGAGGTTCTTGGGTTTTCAGAGCTGCATAATATTCCATTATGTAAATGTACACATTTTTCCTATCCATTCATTTGTTGATGAGCACTTGGGTTGCTGCCCTCTCTTCGCTACTGTGAATAATGCAGCAATAAACATGAGTGTGGACACATGTGTCTGAGTCATGGTTCTGGTTTCTTTACACTGCCAGTAGTAGAATTTCTGGGTCCAATGATATTTCTCTTTCCAATATTTTTTTTCTTTTTCTCTTTCCAATTTTAAAGAAAGTGCCTTCTTCCTTATTGGTTGTACCATTTTACACTCCTACCAGCAGTGAACAAGAGTTCCAATCTCTCACAACCTTGCCAGCATTTGTTTGTTTTTTTTTTTTTTGCTGCCCTACTGAACTTTGCTATTATTGCTGGGGTGAGATGAGATCTCATAGTTGTTTTGATTTGCATCTCTCTGACAGCTAGAGTTTTGAACATTTCTTCATGTGTTGGCCAACTAAATGTCTTCTTTGGTGAAGTGTCTCTTCATATCCTGTACCCATTTTGCAATTTTGTTATTTTTTTCTCTTTGAGGTGCTAGAGTATTCTAGAAATTGTAGATATGAGTTCCTTATCAGATATGTCATTGCCAAATGTTCTTTCTCAGTTTGTGGCTTTCATTTTTACCCTTTCTACAGTGCATACATCAACAGATGGAACTTGAAGGCATTATGCTCATAAAAACAAGCCAATCACAGAAGAACAAATACTGTACGGCCTCAATTCAAATGACCTTAATTTGGGGTTCAAATCCACCAGTTGCTCAGAGGGAGAAAGATAGGCAATTCCCTCCTATGCAATTTACCGCCTCTGAAAACCTGCTGGGGTGCCAGCTAGGGATTGGTGCTGACTCAAGGGCGTACAACAACATTTCTATAAAAAGAGTAAGAAAAGTGAACTATATTTAGAGAATAGTTTATTAATGGCTACCAGCAATGGCGGACAGGGGCAGTTTACAGTTCGGAAAAAAATCATTTATTAAGGGTAGGGCTGAATAGCAGGTTAAGTTCATGTAATTGTTGCTAATAAATTTTACACCTGCAAAAAGTGAAACTGGTAAAAATTATGCCACAGATACTCTCACAATGGCCCTGGCCTCCCCCTCCTCCTCCTCCCCAAACAAAAAGCTGCTGCGGCCTCTTATACACAACCAAATACCACATGAGAGCTGGCTCTTCTGTCTGGAGGTGGTGGCTCCTGGGATCACAGGACCGTTCAGCCAACTGGTTGAACTACATTTTTTGTCCTGGTTTACTCCCTAGCTGCTTGCCTAGAGCTTTTGGTCTTAAATGGTCACAAGCAGCCCTCCAAGGCACAAAAGGTCTCTTTTCACCTGGAGCACCAGAGGAAGGAGAGTCAGGAAGAGAAGATATGGGATGTGTTACCGATCGCCTCCACACACAGCTGCCTCTCGTTGTCCGGAAACTAGAACCAGAAGGTGCCTGGCTATTCATACCGTGTATTTTCAACAAAGATTCCACAGAAGAATCCTGATTAAAACAGGAAAATGCAAAGCAGAAACTGCAAATTCCATACTTTCTGGAGCCACTGAAGATAAATGAACCCCTGAAACTATTTGCCTAAGATACTCTTACATCTTAAAGCCAAAAATACCCTCTGAAGTCTCCTTAAAATCAAACAGTTTAGCTTAGTTACTGGCTAAAAAAGGTCTGACAAGGGCACTGTGCTCTTCTGAAGAGCTATCTCCAATGGGATCAAATAGATAAAAACATAAAAAGACTGGACAGGGCAGTAGGAACAATAGCTTTGTAAATTATTACCTAACTTGGGAAGGACTGAACAGTATTATGCTAAGTGAACTAACTCAGTCCCACAAGGATAAATATTGTATAAGATTATTGTAGAATGAGTATAAGGATCCAGGAGGGGTGGGAGAGGCTGGAAGCAGAGGGATGTGGATGTGCAGGGGAAAGGGGAGATTAATCATTGGGTTGTACAATTTGATGTGGGGGTGAGGGATATTGAAAGAATGTGTTCAAATTTGTATTAGAAGTTTGTAAACAAACTAATGAAAAGAAAAGTCAACTCGGGGAGGGGGAAGGGAAGGAGAGGGGTTAAAATGTGCAACAATGAATGAATGAAAATCTAATTTTTCTGTAAGCTTTTCTTAAAATGACAATTAAAATAAAAAATTGTATTTAAAAAGGCGGGGGGAAAGACTGGGTAGGAATTTTAGGAGTAACTGAGTTTATGTTAGCAGGGCAGGAACCACTCAGAAAAGGTAAGTGAGAAGGGTCGCATAGCTGGAAGAACAAGTCTTCGGTGCCACTGAGCAATAAATGCCGAAACTGTTCTGTATAATCTGCTGTGTACTTTCTCCACCAGGAAATGTAAAAGAGAAAAGAAAACTGATGCCTCTGTCCTACCCCGAGACTGAAGCTGATAAAGGGTGTGACCTGGCCATTCTGAGCTCTCAAGTTCCCTGGTGGTTCTAAGGAAGTCTACGTCTCTCCCTTTTCCCAACACGAGATCTTCATCTCAGGTTATTTCTATAAACTCGTTTTTCCAGGAATGACAACAAGAGATTGGGGTGAGAGGGAATGCCGATTTTCCTACAAGGTTTCTATTCCCTTTCCCTGATCTCTGTAGGATTGCACAGCCTGCTTTGAGACACCCCCCCTCCCAGTCTATTGTAAGCACGTTTCAATACCCTGGATTTGCTTTCCTTAGTTCGACCACATTCTTCCTTTTGAAGGAGGTCTCTGCTGTTGATGGGGAAGAGATCCCCATCCTTCTTATGTCCTATAATGTTGAAAAGGAGGAAGAAAAGCCAGTCCCTTCTCTAGTCTTGTTCCAGAAAAGGCAATGTTCAGGGAGAAAACCCTGCAAACCTCTGCCTTCCCCCATCCAGTGACGTCCTTTGGGAAGAAACCCTTCTAAACTCTGGAACCCAACGTGTTTACCTGGTGGGTTATGAGTTTAGGTCAGCTGGCTGCACGGAAACGCTGCCCAATCACAGGGCTCTGTCTTGGCTGCAGACTGTATTTCAGACTCTCTGCCAATAATGTCTCTTAACATGGGCTAAACCAGAGATACGTTCCTGTCTAGCAAGTGGGAGAAATTGACATCTATAATACAGGAGGAGAAATGCAAGCCTGCCAGCGAAAGTCAGGGCATCTCGGCACCGGCAAAGTCCCTCTCCTGGACAGCCAGGGCCGCACAGTAACGCCGCAGAGAAGGCAGAACACAGGGCTGCCTGCAAACCGGAGGCCGATGCTGCCCGCTTCTCTGGCCTCTTCTCTCGGGCTGAGCTCAGAGGTGCCACGGGGGCGATGGCAGATGCGAGCGGCTCCTCGAAGGCCCGGAGGAGCCCCGCTCTGCGGCCCCAAGAACCGAGAGCTCCAGAGCCAGGCGCCTCCGGAGATGGCCGGTGCCCGTTTGAAGGTGGATGCATTCCCCAGAGTCACAGCCTGTTTTCCCCAAGCCTTCCTAAAACATTTCTCTCATAAGGAAAGGAACATGGGAGGGGTGGGGGGAGAAATAGTCTTAACAAGCGGATTGTGCTTGTTGACGCTCCAAATCGAGACAGAGGGGGCTGGTGAGAACAGACTTGGGGTTCCAGCCAAGCATTTCAGGGTCCCCATCGCCAAGCAGCCGGCGAGGAGGCCAAGGCGAGACCCCCCCCCCCAAATGCCCCTGAGCCACCTTACAAAGCGATCGCCTGGCTGCATTACAGAGACTGTCTATTCTCGGGGCCTCGGCCCGGAAAGCTCGCCTCCCCTTCGCGCAGCGCCCGGGAGAAGGGAGAGGGGAGCGGCGCGCGCCGCGTCTCACCACTTGCTGTGCGCCCCGGAAGGTCGCGTCCAGCAGCATCAGCCTCCAGGGGTCAGCGATGGAGCCGGGGAGGGGGATGTAGACGTAGTAGGCGGCCAGCGCCACCAGGGCGGCGAGCAGGACGCAGGACGAGCGCATGGTGCCCAGACGCCGGAGCGGCCGCGGACCCGCAGCAAGGCGCCGACCCCAGGCAGGCGCAGCGCGAGCCGGCACCTCCGGCAGGTTTCCACCCGGCTCCCGGCCAGGGCCTGGTTTCTTCTGCGCCCAGGAGCCAATCAGAGACGGGGTCGGGAGGAAGTCGGGGCGCTCACGTGCCCCCGCCCGGGTGTCCTTGCGGAGCGTGGCAGCCTCTCCAGGTCCGAGAGCGCAGCGGCTGCTCACAGCGGGCTCTGGAGGTCGCAGGTCTGCGTTGCAGCCTCGAGAAGGCGGCCTCCCTCCCGGTGGGACCTCAGGGAAACCGGAGTGGGTTCAAGGGGCTGCGGCTCCCTCCAAAGCACGTGGGTGGTTCTGATGCAAAGGGAAAATACTGATGAGGAAGAGAAGAAATTGTCTTCTAAACATAGACTTGCAAGGGAATGTAAGCTGTAGCTATACTGTAGATAAAAGAAGACAATGACAAGTTCTTTTTTTTTTTCTTGTGGACCTATTTTCGTTTTCTTTTTTTAAAATTTATTATTAATATCAATGAAAATTTACAGAGACTTTGGATTTCCATTCATTCATTGTGGCACTTTTCTCCCGTCCCAACCCTTCCCCCTAGTGCACTACCCTCTTGGAAAAGTAAAAGAAAAATTCTTTCATTGTTTTACAATCCCTTCCCCCATGTCTACTCCACTATACAGCCTTCGCCCTGGACTCCTGTCATTACAAATATACCTAATAATTTTCCCTCTTAAACAGTTTTCTCCCTCATCTGTTTCAAAGCAGTATACATTATTGAACCCATCCTTCTCAGTCTCCTCCCAACCTCAAGGTCAGTCCTGTCTTACAACTGTGGCACTATGCAGTATTTGTCCTTTTGTGACTGAGGTATTTCACTCCGCATAATGTCCTCCAGGGTAATGTTGAGTAATATTTCATGAGTTCCTTATTTTTCAATGCAGCGTAGTATTCAATTGTGTGAGTATACCAGAGCTTCTCTATCCATTCATTTGTTGATGGGCACTTAGGTTGTTTCCAGCTCCTTGCTATTGTGAACAAAGCTTAGATGTCAGAATGACATCTTGTAGCTCACGCAGGGGGCCCCTGGTGGTGGTGTGGTTAAGTGCGATGGAAAAGCAACTGACTGTGGATTATGATAATGTCTAATAGAAGGAGATTTCCCAGAACCCTTAACTGTGCTTGTTGGAAACCTATACGCAGACCAAGATGCTATTGTCAGAACAGAGCAAAGGGACACTGCATGGTTTAAAATCAGGGAAGGTATGAGTTGGTACTGGTCAGGGCTGTAGCCTCGCTCCACACTTGTTCAATCTGCACGCTGAGTAAATCCTTCCAGAGGCCAGACTTGAAGAAGAATGTGCCGTCAGGAACAGAGAAAGACAATCTGTATGCTGAGCAAATAATTTGAGAAGCCAAACTGCATGAAGAAGGTGGTGAGGTCAGGACTGGAAGATGACCCTAACAGTCCATTCCGTTGGATTGTTAGGAAGATGTTGCTCTTGTTAAGATGGCACAACTTTGGTGCTAGAAATGGAGACTTGAAACACTAATGAAGTTCTAAGACTATCGCCTTCCATACGATTACACTCCAACATTAACAAAACTCTTCACAACTAGATCAACAAGCAGCTTGAGGCTAAATGGAGAAAGATTCTGATTGTCAAATAATTTCATTCTTCTTGGAGAGGACATCTAGTCGTATTGCCTTAAGCAAATCTGTAGCAAAGGGACTGCTGAAGAACAAGGCTGTGACTTTGATGACCAAAGTGCTCCTCACCCAAGCCAAAGTATTTTCAGTTGCCTCACAGGCTTGTGAAATTTGTAAGTGAAAAAAGAAAAACAAAGAAGAATTGATGGAAATAGGGAAGGGAAAAGAAACGATGATAATTTTCAGTAGGTTTTAGAATTTTGCTTTAACTGAGACCAGTTTGACATAAGCTCTAACACTTTTCTTACTTGTTCTCACTACTTTATTCATTCAACAAATAAGCCTAGCTTACTACATACCAAGCACAACTGTTGCTATTGTTAATTGCCACTGTCAACCCCTGACTCATGGTGACCTGCCTTCAGCTTGATTGGAATCCATCCACAATGAAACAAAGCACTGTGTGGCCCTGTGCAATCCCAGCATTGATTGCAGTTCAGACCCTTGTGATCCGTAGGGATGTTCAGTCTTTTCTGACATCCATCTCGTTCAGTCTTTTCTGACATCCATCTCCTCTTTTCTTCCCTTTCTGTCTTTGTAATGACCTTTTGCATTCTTCCTACATGTTGTTCTTGATAACTTCCCACAGCTCCTCTGGCCTTCATTCATTAGTGTTCAAGGCCTCAACTCCCTTCCGAGAAGGTTTTTAAATTCAGGTGGGATAGACTCAAGGTCAAATTTTGATCGTTGCTGTGTCTTTAATTTCAATTTCTTTAGCTTGAGTTTGAATTTGCATATGAGTAGCTGATGGTTCCACAATTCACACCTGGCCTACATTTCACAGCTGATATTGAGCTTCTCCAGTGATTCTTTCAACAGATGTACTCACTCTGATTCCTTTTTTTTTATAATCATAATTGACATTTTTAATATGGCTCACGATTCTTACAAGATTTGAATCTGCTGTGCACAGGGTTCCTACCAGTCAGAGTCAATTGGAGGACACCTAACTAACAACAGGAGATAACTAAGCCAAGTACTAAACATACAATTAGTCAATTAACGAGAATGTCTTACCCTGACACTAAACCTCCAAATTAAGAAACAAAAAATCCTAGGGGAGCTCTGGTGGCCTAGTGGCAAGAAGCTGCAACTGCAATCCCCGAGACTCATGGTTCAAATCCACCAGATCCTCTGCCGGGAAAGGAGGGAAAATCTCCTCCTGTACCAGTCAGATCTGATCTGACGGTACACAGACACACATACACAAAATAAAAATTAAAAAATTAAAAAAAAAGAAACAAAAATCCTGTCATATTGTACATAGAGCATATATTCTTTTCTTCCATCATTGTAGTTAGTATATTTATCACAGAAATTTTGATGATTCAACTTTTTTTTGCAGTCCTTCCTTCCTTATCTCTTTTTTTTAATTAGTTTATTTATTTTTTCATTTCAATGAACATCTACAGAGATTTTGGAATTCCATTCATTCATTGTTGCACCCTTCTCCCCGCCCACCCCTCCACCCCGTTTGCTCCTCTCCCCGAAAAGCAAAAGAAAAACTCCCTCATTGGTACACAATCCCCCCCCCCCCACATCCCCCAACCCCAAATATAATCCACTCTGCAACCCTCATTCCGTACTCTTATGATAAACTCTGATTCCTTTGCAGGCCATCAAGTGAGGTGCATGTGTAGAGTTGCTGCTTGTGTTTCTTATAAAAGGTATTTGTACTGACTAAAACGTGTAAGACACTACACAACATAGATGAGTCTGGAAGATATTATGCTGAGTGAAAAATCTCAGTCACGAAAGGACAAAATAACTGCATAAGACCACTGTTCTAAAACAGGATTGTGAGGAGTGGAGAGCAGGAAAAGAGTGGCTAGAAAACACTGCACTGGAACAGTTGAGGGAAAGCACTGTCTGAAAGGAATGTATGATTAGGTATCAAATGGATGACAATTAAGACCTCGGAACAAAGGGGAGCTCTGGTGGCCTAGTGGCAAGGAGCTGCAACTACAATCCCACAGGTACACGGTTCGAATCCACCAGATGCTCTGCCGGGAAAAGGAGGAACAATCTCCTCCTGTACCAGTCAGATCTGATTTGACGGTACAATCACACACACAAAAAAAATAAAAATAAAAATAAATTGAAAAGCAATAAAAAAAAAACACAAAAACAACCCCGGAACAAGTGCATTAGGGGGAAGGATGAGGGCGAGGAAAATACGTATCATTGAATGAGTGAAAACCAAACTTTCCGGTAGGGCTCTGTGATGCTCTCAGTATAACGTGTTCTAATGCAGATGCGCAGGGGACCATTGGGTTTCGCTCACTCACTGTTACCCAGGTGGTTCTGACTCCTGGTCCACCTTCAACTCACCCCTGAGTTTTCAAGGCAGGGATTCTTTTTCTCCCCGCCTCCTCCCATTAGCAGTGTTTATTTATCTTTCCTCAGTCAAACCCTGAGCCAATCGCTTTCCCCAGGCTGCTGGGGAAGTTTACAGGGAAGGGAACACAAAGGGTAGACGAGGCAGGGGAGAGAAAACCAACTCACTATGGGAGGTGGAGGATCAGAGAGGCCACCGTCAGGCACAAGAGCCCCCTGGCCTCTGAGAGGGCACAGCCCAGAATGGTGGAGGAGAAGAGCTGCTGCTTCGGAGATGATTCCTGGCGTCACCAACGAGGAGGCTGCGAACACAGTCCCCATCCTGTCTCCAGAGCTGCCCCTCCAGCCGCGGCCGCCCCAGGCCCAGTGAACGTGGCTGCTGCGTCAATATCCCTTGAGATGGTGCTGGTGTGGAAGCTGTGACGGGGATAAATGAAATCCAGGAACGTGGGGCTGTCAAACAGCTGCAGGTCTCATCTCTGTGACTCTGTTTCAGGACCACTGCAGACCACGGACGGCTCAGCAGCTGAGAGGCCTCCTGACCAGGGAAGGGGTGGAGACACACGTGGTGCAGGTACACATTTTCAGGGGTGAGTGGCAGGAAAGCTGCTCCCAGTGCAGAGACGACGGAGAGGGGAGGGGGCAAGGTGGGGATTCTTAATGGGAGGAGGCTGTCCGTCTTTTTCTGTCAGAGCCACTGGTGGATTTGAACTACCAAAACAACGTGCCTTTTTATTGGTAGCAGAGCATGCCACAGATTAGACCACCAGAACTCCTAATGGAGAAGCCCAGCAAGTCACTGGATTTTGAGGTTTGAAATTTACAGGAGTCAGGGCTGCACGCAGAAACAGCCGAGATAAGAGACCGCATTGCCATAATCTATCAGGCCGTTGAGTTATAATACAAAGTGTATGATAAAAATGTATTGCCT